GAGTCGGCTGCGGTGCTTCTCTGCCGCTCGCTGCACAGAACAGACGCCGAGAGAGGCGACACTTCTCCGGGAAAGCCAGACCTCGCGCTCGCGGGACAGCACTGGAGAAATCCTCCAACTGAACCATAGCTAAGCTTTATCCAGAACAGTGGCTAGGTTTGTCAGTATGAATATTCTCTGGAAAAAGCAGCTAAAAGGGTCTGAAAGTTGCTAAATCTCGTGCTAAAGTCACGCTGGTGTGTGAGACGCGGGAGCTGATGGCAGGGGCGCTGGATATATTTGTGGAGGTCAGTGTGGATATTGTGGATGAGTTCTTCTGTGTCATCACGCTCTATTAGTTCTACAGCTTCAGTTTCTGAACTTTCACGCTTAGTAACACATACAGCTGTTCCCTCACCACAGTGCAACAGTGAAAACGGACCCCTTTCAAACAGTGTCGCGTTCCCAACCTTGTTTAAGCTACTTACACCGGTATTGCAGTATTTAAAAAATTCATATCATAACAAAAATAAACAGCGGTATTCGGTATGAACCGGTATACCGCCCAGCACTATCCTACAGCATCCCTCCTGAAGCACACAGGGGTCAGAATAGAACAGATTTTCTTCAGCCGTTCGACAGTATTACCTACAGATCCCTTTTACTGGTTAAAATTGGTTTTAGTGTAATTGGTTAATTACTGAAAGAAACTTACCTGCTCTAATTTAGATTCAGACTTTTGCAGACCATAAGAATGAAAGGACAGGATCTGGAACTAATTTGTTGGCCCAATCTTTAAGAAAAAAAATTTAAGTTGACTGCAATATTCACAATATTCACTTTATATTGCTCACATGTGCTGAACACCAGGTTATGTTTATGCAGCATATTTCCCACCCATAAGGAAATGTAATATATGATATTTATTGTCCTGTATCAAGAGTGATATTACTATATACTGGTAAGGCTATATATATTTTATATGATATTATATTTGGATTTAGATTTATCGGCCAACATATCGGTTATCGGGTTTTAATAAATAAAGAATTATCGGTATCGGCCAAAATTTTGTTTTTGTAATAATTTTTTTAATAAGTGTCTATCTTTTATATTTACTTATACAATTTCAACATAATGAAATAATAATGATAGGTTTTAGGATGAACAGAAATGTGTCCAAATATGTATTACACATGCATAAAAATACATAATTTTTTTTGGCTAGATATATATTCATATATGAAATTCTTAAATTTTTAAATAGGTTTCATGTATATATTTCATATCTGGAAATTGTATATATTGACATGTATTAGATCTGCGTATGGGCCAGATCCTGGTTACTTTACCAGCGAGCGCAGTGAGAGGACAGGCGTAGTGGACATTGCTCAGTGAGGTGTAAAGTTTTATGGTGGTTTTGAGACTTGATGAAGTGCTAAACAAACAGAGTGTGTTTCATAGTCTCTCAGTGTTTATTTCTGTTCTAGACTGCTAGACTAAATATTGAGTGCTGACTGCCATGTCAGCCATCACAGCTGATCTAAACAGACCTGTGACGCTGATGAACGCTCATCGCTGCGTGAGCACTGTGTTTCGCTCTGGTGTAAGCTTGTGTGTGTGTGTGTGTGTGTGTTCAGGTGGAAGAGGTGAAGAAACACAGTCACTGTTTGGCCTTCAGCTCGGCGGGACCTCAGAGTCAGACCTACTACATCAGCTTCGACAGCTTCACCGAACACCTGCGCTGGCACCGGCAGGCGGCGAAGGTGCGTGTGTGTGTGTGTGAGAGAGATGTCCTCTGTACCTCGAACCTGTACAGATAAGACGAGCTGACACACTAGAGCTGATCTAAACCCTCACTAGAGAACATTTTCACGCCCTTATAAGCGAGTACTGTGGTGGTATAGTGACGGAATCTGCTTCTGATACACACCAGGATCCTGAACGATTGCCACATTCATGTATAATTTACAGTCTTCAAGAAATACTGTTTTTCCATCGTGTACAAAAACAATATATATATTATATAATGTATCTAATATAATCAATCAATC